ATATGTATATGTATGTATATATATACATGTATGTATATATATGTATATATACATACATGTATATACACATGCAGATGTATATGGGCATATTTTCAAACATTTTATTCTTTATTCTTTTCTATTTCTTTTAATGTGTATTTGCACAGCTGTGGAAGTGGCTCTAATCTTGTTATGCATGTGTGTAATGACAATAAAGGCATTCTATTCTATTCTATTCTATTCTATTCTATTCTATTCTATTCTATTCTATTCTACTTTAAGTAGTTTTAAAACCAGTGCTTTTGTACTTTTACTTGAGTGAAAAGCTTGAGTTGATATTTGTACTTCCAAAAAAAGTATTTTAAACCCTAGTATCTATACTTCTACTTAAGTATTGTTTGTGAATACTTTTGTCACCTCTGTAAATAATGCAGTAAACAGGTAAATAAACTAAACCTGTTTGTGAGCAGTTTTAGGTTCCTCCACAGGGGGCGCTGTTTCATTACAACAACATAGACTCAAATCATTTTAACTCTTTACTGGCGCTAATGACATATAAAAAACGCAAAGTGTATTAAAATAATTAAAACTAAAATCACTGTAATAAATAAAATTAATTATAACTATTAGAAAGGTAGGTAACAATATAGTACCCAATTTCCGGTCAAAGTGACGTCGTCCTTGTGCGTTACCGTAGCAACACTAAACGCTGTCTCTCCAACATGGAGAACAGAAGTCTTTCAGAGAGTTACGAAGCCGTCTGTGCCGAACATGAGATAAAAACAAACCTGTATATTTTAGAGACTTTACAGAGGGCCACAGAAACAGGGTGAGTGGTTTTACTTTGAGCCTGAAAACTGAATAAAAGTTTGAAGCAAAGATGAAGCATTAGCTTCTAGCTAACGCTACATCCAGGTTCTTCTGAAAATAAATAAAAATAAAAAACATCAAAAATTTATTGTTTTTAAGAAGCAATGCGGCTGAGGGTTTAAATATACAGTAAATATTTCAACTTACAATAATTTTCATTGATAGTTTGTTTTGTCTGTAAAGAAAGTAAATATATTTGTATACAGTAGCTTTATGTCTGACTGAGGTCAAAGGTCAGGCCTAAAGCATGAATATAAAATCTAAATGAAGACTTTCTGTTGCAGAAACAGCATCTTAAACCTGAGAGGGAACGACAGATTTCATCACAWTCAGAGAATCGGTGATAAAGACGTCTTTTCTTTGTCCAAATGTCTCCAAAACAACCAGAGAGTGACAGGTGAGACACCTGTTGGACGTTAAAATACCTGAAACCACATCTGCTGACCTTWATCTGAACTAAATGTTTTTAACAGGTTTGGATCTGAGATACAACGACATCGGTGATGAAGGAGCCGGACACCTGGCTGACCTGATCCAGGTAAAAAAAGTTTATTAACACAGAGCAGGTAAACAGGAACAGATAGAACAGGTAGAACAGGTAGAACAGGTAGAACAGGTAGAACAGGTAGAACAGGTCAACAGGAACAGATAGAACAGGTAGAACAGGTAGAACAGGTAGAACAGGTAGACAGGAACAGGTAGAACAGGTAGAACAGGTAGAACAGGTAGAACAGGTAGAACAGGTCAACAGGAACAGATAGAACAGGTAGA